GGGGGGGGGGGGAAGGGAGGTGTTGTAATCTTAGAATTCGCCAGATTTTCTGCCCAAAAGGTAGACCAATTTTCTTGTGTTTCAGTCTTCATTTTTCCTATACTCTAAACCATTTTGGCCAATAGAATTGAAATAAGCCGAGTTGTTATTGAAATTGTGCCTAATTTGTGGACTGATTTCATGGTCTTTCGAAATCTAAAATTATTTAAAAACTGAAATAAGGATTTAATGATATCAATCCTGTAGTAGATTTTGACGATGGTCGCAAATGATCTTTTATAGTCCAACACGTGAGCACGTGCAATTTGGAAGTGAGTTTATTGAGGAGATGTCACCAATTAATGGCTATTTTTCTAAAATCGTCACCACGGGGAGAGATTGATGTGACTGAGAAGGTGGGAGACAACACGTGGAAGTCAATACTGCAGTGGGTTAGCAGAAAAGTATGTGGAGTAAGGAATGGTTTAAAGATATATGGATGCGAGGTGCTAGGGATGGTGAGCTCTGACAATGTTACCACAAGCTCCTAAAATTTTACATTGAATGACCTTGCAAGTGTGTGGACAATACGAACAATAGAGAGCCCTGTATTCTTGTAAGATATGAGTACGTGTTCATTTCCAATTATTTAAACCAACCCGCTCTCCTAACAAGTGATTACGTCAAGTCTTCTGGGCTAGCTTAAATCCATTACTTTTTCTATCCTCTCAAGAAGGCTCAATTCGGTAATAATTAATAAGTCTATCAAACGACATGACCAGTTGTAGTGTTTGCTGCTAATAAAGAGATTGGAAGCAAAAAAACTGGACTCCATAAGGTTCAATTCAACAGTCTAGAAGGTTGACTTGTATTGCCTCATGGTAGAGTAGGAGTGGGAGGGGGGGGGGGTAGTATATAGTTATTTATATTAAGGGAAGATAGATATATTACATATTTCGCCTTTAGTGAGCCCTAGTGTGTACTGTGGTGCCAAAAATTGTTACATGCCACATAATCTGTTCTTGACACAAATAAATATCAGTGGCATTCCTAACTATGCAATTAAATCATAACCCACAACCATAAGTTGTCAACAGAGTTCATTTTTATGTAGAAAAAATACTCAGTCGTTCAACGGTGAAGTTTAGGCCTTTTGATTTGATAATGCATTCAAAAATAGAGCGAAAGCACTTTCCATATGTAGTAGCACTGGCGATTCAGCCTTCAACTATTTTCGATTGTCTCCAAACTTCTTTATATTAGTGTATCCTGTCTTAAAACCAGGACATCGAGTACTCCCAAGACACAGACCTTTTAGCTACCTTCTTTAATAGACGTGTTGGACGGTACTAGCCACCCTTCTAACTTTGACGGGTGAAGTGGAGCTGGGGTAGTAACATTTATTTATTTACATCAAATGGGAAGCTTTATGATTATTATCAATAGCCATTTAGTTGACTTCGGGTTTCATAGAGGGGAGGATTATCAAAGTCACAAAAAGTGAAGAGGAGGGAACTGAAAAGTAGCTCACAGATGTGCACGAGGCGGACACAAAGGTACAGAAAACGGGAGATGAGTATTGTGGAAGTGGTGGAATATGACATACAGTCGGTTCATGGTAGCTTGGAGTCAGCTGCCGGTTAATAGACTTTTTAGTCGTATGAGCATACGTTGCCCATGATATACCCCCTGGAGGTAAGCCTGTCGCCACCCAAGGGGAAGTAACATGATATGTCCAGTAAGTATTAATTGAATGGGTTGATTTCATAAAGAAAAGAAAGATATCAAGGAATTCCCTCTGAATACAGCATTCAATACGGCTCTTAGAGAGGCACATAGTGTAATGCCATAGAAAATCGATGTACCCTAACTAATATAATGATCAGGGATTTTAAAATGAAATGCTGATCTTTTCTTTAAAGACAGATCCTAAGTTTACGGGTACTAATTCATCAAATGGTGTGACATTAATTTGATTAATTGGTCAATGGTTCGTATGCTATGGTGGACATGTACTTTTGTTGGAAATTTTCTGTTTATATTCATATCACATTTGTGTGTCAGTGGGCAAGAAACTAACGAGTTATTTTAATGATTCCACACTTTCCAATGCCATCCAGTGAAATGATTGGCAGGTTAAAGCAGGTCAAAAGAATGTTGTTGGGACTGATTCGCGTCTGGCAAAAATGAAAACTAAAATGTGCCGTTTCAAGCATGAGCATTTTCAAAGATCTTTATTTATAAGAAATATTGAAACCGGAAATTTATTGTAAGAATTCCATTTTATAATATCCAATTCATTAAAAGATTCGTGATTGATAAATTCGTGGACTATTTGGATTTAATTAGTTTATAAATTAATTAGTTCAGTTTAATTAGTTTAACCTCCAAAAGCTACGCCTCTATTAAAAATAATTGCTGAAAGACGATTCCCATAATAAATGGATTGCAATACTGAAAAATGCAAAATATTTCTTATTGACGTAAATACCACCATTTTATGTTTTTACGTTCATTCGTTTAGCTTTTACATGAAATCTTGCGCTATTCAATAAGATTTTTCCATTCTGCCTTGTCTTCAACCTCATCTGTTATTTGCAGGATCGATAACCTGATGTTGCAGCACATCTTATTTTCAGCGCTCTGAGAGTTAAACCCTCCCCACCCCCATCCCCCCCCCCCCCCCCCCCCCCCCCCCCCACCGAGTATTTTACTAATCACATTGAACAAAAGAATAATAGCATTTCTCCATATCAGTGGTTACTAATAACTATTTAAATAAGTAGAGTCATTGTCGTGATATACTACCTAATGAAATGTGAGTGAGTACAGAAGCAATAGCTCACAGAACCAGATGTCAACTGAATTCTGTTGTTCTCAACAAACTACATTTAGATATATTCTACATAATTTATTATAGCATATCCACATTTTAGACGATAGAGTTAACAAAAATCAACGTACATCAGTCAATTAACAGAAACATTGAATTTTCAGATCTTCACAAAGCGAATGCATATCACTTGGTAAATATGTTCGAACAAAACTTGGTGAGGTACAACAAAAAATGTGCTACTTTTACAATCAGGAGTAGTTATGATAATTAAAAATCTTTAGACTCATAAGCAATTTCCATGCAAAAAAACCACTTAAATTACTCAACGGGTCGAATTTCATAAATTTGGAATGCAGAGCAACCAATATACCCTTAATAGTAAACACAGAATTAACTGACCAAAGTAATCAAAATTAAATACATCTAAAGCCACAATACAATAATTGTAATGAGGAGAGTAAACATAAGTTAACACAGTCTAATAGCGAATTGCTGCACGAATAAGCCATGATTTGTACTCAGTGGTCCTAGTACGGCAAGGATCGCGTAAACGGCATAAAAGCAACCTTATCACCTTTCAAAACTACAGTGAATTTCTATGGTAGAAATAGTACGAATACAAACGAATAAAAGCGTATGGAAGATACACAAGAAAAAAGAAACCATCGTCACCAACATGCCCAACCACACATTACTACCAAACTTTCACACAAGACCTTCAAATACAGGTGCGAACTAATTCAAGGACAAAACTAAATTTAAACTTAGTAATTTGAACGCCAAACAAATAATGAATAAAGTATTTTATTTTTTATTATTAACTATTTAAATTATTTGTGGATATTTTGATAAGAAATAATCAAGCAAAATAAATATATGCTCATGATTGAACATACCTCAGTAAAATAACGCTTTTTAAATTGAAGCATGTTGATAACATTTTCCAAAATTTAGTATATATATGTAACCTCTTTCCTCATGCATTGGCATAATTCCAAAACGACTCAATAACACTTTCAGTGAAAAACTTTTCTGAAAATTATTTACTACCGTGGTAATATTATTAGATTTTCTTTAGCTTATCCATAATTATTGAAAAAGCGTTCATTCAAAGTAAGCTTCCCACTGGACCAAATATTTTACGGAATATACTTAACTTCAACTTTATTCCCAATCATTTTCAGTATTTTCCTTAGCGCTCGATTACAATGCGCATTAATGCATTCTTCTTGACAGAAGCTTAAAATCTAACAATTTTGCTAACAAAGGTGAAATTGAAACCACAAACAGAATTATCATACAATTCGAATCATTCCTAATCATAAAGAACAGTAATTACGTTCCTCCTTATCCATAATGTCGCCGTAAGACGATTATGTGAATACTTTTTACACAGCAGAATATATAATTAAATATTAATTCAATTTCAGGTAGCTAACAAAGATTCACAAGTCTAAGACAATCCCCCTTCGAGTCCTGAAAATACCTGTCAAATGTTCATGAAATGCGCAATAGAACAAACTGCCTCACCTTTTCAGCTGTCTTAACGGCAGTTTCAACTCTCCACAAACCCATTAAATTTTCAGGAATCTCAGAAGCAACCCTTGCACAAGTCAATAATCGAAACCTACAATCTTCAAATGACAGTCTCACTTATTGCTTGTATCCAAAAGACTACCAGAATCGTTCTAAACACTTTAGTTGGTTTAGTGGCGAGAAGTAATGGATGAAGTGGTATCATTCATCTTCTACCTACTACAGTGTTACAAAATACCTAGGTATTTATTCTATGGAAAATCTTTATGCTATGCCAGATCCAATAAAGTCGTATATTTACACAAAATATGCCATATCTAAACATATAAGAAAGAAATATATCAGTAAACATCAATCATACTTATATACTGACAATAATAATAATGATAATAAAATAGTGATTCGCAAAAATACATGCAACTAAAATTAAGCGGCCAACTTTCGCCTATTTCCGATCTGATGGGGTCTTGCATCGTTTCCGGATCTTCCACCAGCGTTTCCACTGGTTGTTGGCGTGTGCCTGGTCACCGTAGAAACACCATCGACAAACTTCGTTTTGAATAGGACATTGGCATTATTGAACATACCATCTTTCAGGGATACCACAATGAACTAAAAAACAAAAATAGCCATTTAACACCATATCGTTAATGAACAGTTCCACCTATTCGAACAAGTCTTAAATAAAATTCTAGAAAAAGCTGATTAATATTTTTCTAGAACTACAATAGCTCGAAACCTCGAAAGAATTGAGAATACCTGTAACTCAAGTCTAGATTTTTAATTAAGAAACTATTGGGTTATTTTTAAAAAAGGGGATATTTATTGCCCTATGGATTAGTTGAAAGTATAGCAGTAAAAGTCTACAGGGATTTTATAAGTTATACTGAGAAGGTACGACCTTCCTGCCATCAAGAAGAATTCTCAGAGCCGTGAAGCATGAGTATGTTACTCGGCTGTTTTATACGAACCCGCGGCGTACCAAGAAATAGTGCAAATGGGCAATTATTCCGCTTTTCGCAAACCGTGAAGAAAAGTAACAGAGGTGCTTGAGGCAAAAAGAGGTAAAACAAAGCATGATTGTTATTTGTATGCAGATATTGTCCGAAAAGTGATTGGTGCATTATAGATGCAACATCCTATTCCAGGATGAAATGGTGAACGCCTCTAACGTAGCTTTATTCCCTTACAAATTACGGGGCATATAAATCAAGCCAATAAGCCAGGTTATTAGCCGAGTAAGAAAATAAGGCATTGGAAAATGCGAAATGAACTAACTTGAGCATTTTTGAAGTGATTCTTAATTAATTGACCAATATTCTGGGTATGGGATAAATCCAAAGCTGCGTCAACCTCATCCAAGATATAAATTGGTGCAGGTTTGAATAGCAGAAGCGCCAAAATGAGTGCCAGAGCGACAAGCGACCGCTGACCTCCGGAGAGTTCACTCAACGACTCCTTCCAGGTGTCTCCGAACGCCACACGGAATTGAAGACCGTCCAGAATTGTCTGACCTTCAGGAGGAACCAACTGGGCTCGAGTTCCAGGGAGGAGGGATGAGAAGATGTTATTGAACTCCTCATTTACCCTCTCGTAAGCGGACTTCAGAACTTGTTCCTTTCTTTTATCTAAATCATCAATAACCGTCTGTATCTTGCGTTTGTCGGCGAGCACAATTTCTCGGCGACGCAGTAAGTCGGCGTATTGTTCTTCCGCGGTGCCAAGCATGTTCATGGCACGCATATTGACGGTTCGAGAGAGCTTTTCACGCCTCTCGGAGAGAGTGGAAACACGCTGACGAGCTTCAGTGGGATCGCGTTTCTTAAAGTCGAAGACGCCGTTGGCAACGCCGAAGTTACCACGCTCTTCAGCTATCCAAGGGTTAGATTCCAGCATGCTGGAAAGCTGAAAGTGAAAGGTAGGAGAACAATCACCTGGATTTCAAGGCAGGGAAGCAAGAGTTCGGACAAAAAAGGATCAACTGGTAACTTATTATTCCGAGTTGAAAAATGGAATAAGTTTTTGAAAGCTTGCGGATAGAGCTGGCAAACCTGCTACTTAAATAACATTAAGTAACACAGCATTGATGCACATTAGTTCGGATCTGAATAATTCATTGATCGAAGCGAATAAACAAACTCCGATTAAGGTTAGAGGGGAAATTTATCTCAATTGGCAAAATAAGGATAGGCCACAAAGAACCGGATTGGAACTTGATCAATTTTTTCTGAAATCCCCAATAAGTTTCTACTTCTGAAAGGCTTATCACTAATTGTTTAAAGTCTTGGGAGAGGAAATAAATTTGAAATCATTCAGTATACTTGATATTTACAACAGAATTGGATGTTAAAGATTTAGCTAGAAGATTTTGGCTTAAAAAATACTAAACCGAAGATAGATATCAATGGGAAGAAAACCGGATTGGAACTTGATCAAAGCCGCGACTGAAATTCTATTTGATGAATGGTAAGAGAATTAAAAACATGACTAAAACGCTCAGCCATTAATTCAGTAGCTCAGCAACCAAACTGGTTTAAATAAAACAAAGTGGATGAGTAACACACACACACCTTCACAAAAGCCTCCTTATTCTCTTTTGTATGAATATCCAGATCATGTGTAAGCTTATCGATCTGACAGGATGTGGATGATATAGCCTCCTTCAGCTTATCAGCCTCCGACTTGGCGCTCTGAATAGCGGCCGCGGCCGCATCAGCCAGTCTCTGTTGTTCATCCACTTTAGCCTTGGCATCCTTCAAGGCCTCTTTCGCAGCCTCCGCGTCCTTCTTCGCTTTTTCAACCGCAACCTCAGCATTCTGAAGTTCAGTCTTGGTCTGTTCAAGGGACGTCTGGATCTGTTGAAATTCTCGAGCAATTTCATCAGCTTCCAACCTCAGAGTTTCCTTGAGGCGCTGTTTAGTTCGTAGAGCGTCTTCAGTGGCATCCACGCGTTCACGAGCACTCTTAACAGCAGCTTCAGCCTCACGCAAAGCTTTCGCCTCGGCCTCCTGTGCATGTTCCACTTTCCAACGGGCTTCCTTTACAGCCTTGTCAGCCTCGACTAACCTGGCAGCACCTTCTTTGAGAGAGGCGCGTACTTCATCAAGCTCAATGCCTAGACGCTCCAAGTCAGTGCGTAGACGATGGGTGTCCGACTGGCGCAGGGTGGTTTCGATAATGGCTAACTCGTGACGGGCTCGATCTAGGGATTCACTCAGATCGGCGCGTTTTTTGGCACGTAATGAGGCAGCCTCACGGGCCCTTTGAATCTCTTGACACTGCTTCATGGCATCCGCAGCGGCGGATTCGGCGGCTCGCCATTGGGCGACACGGGTGAGAAGGTTGCTTTGTGGACCACCTCGCGAACCTCCAGATAAGGTACCCTAGAGTAATAAATAACACTAGACAGATATTTGTTTCTGCTCCATTACATAAAAGCAGACTCTAGTTCGTTAAAGGCAGTAAAAGTACGTTGAGCTAGGTTAGCACATGCCAGATAAACAGCACTAATAGAATAATGGATGGTTAAAAAATGAATTTCTCATAGAGAAAGAGTACAGTACTTTCCTTACTTTTGTGTTAGCTTAATTGATTCATCTTCTCCTATCGCACTGACTTTTAAGTCGAGATATGCTCTTGATTCTCCGATAAATAAAAAAATAAATAATTCAGGCATGTATAACCTTCACTATATGAAAAAGGGCGCTCATCAAATTTTGGATTAAACACAAAAAAGTAACTTACTTGTGGATCAAACATATCACCATCATAAGTGATCGTTCTTCTTTCTATTCCCGGATGGAAAGTCACCTTCCTGGCATGATCTAGCGTCGGACAGACAAGAAGACCTCCAAATACAAACTCCATAACCGGAGCCAGATGTGGAGGATATCTGATAAGCGACAACGCCGGCGCAACATTCTCCTTCCCAACAAGCGCTTCTGCCTTTTTCAAAGTCTCCTGTGGTATGGAAGATCCTCGGATGCGATTCAGGGGTAACATTGTGACTCGTCTGGGCAACTGACCCCTCTCCAAAAGGGCTTTTCCCGTCGCCTCAGTGTCCACCACGATATTGTAGAGCTTCCCGCCAGCAGCTACTTCAATTGCAGTGGCGTATTTGGGATCGACAAGATCAAATAATTTAGCTACAACACCAAACACCCGTCGTCGATCAAAATGCGGTTCCGGATCGGTGTAATCAAACTGAAGTTGATGAAATTGTCTCCCAAGTTCATCACTTTTCGCCTGTAATTGACGCATTTCTCGAACTAATTCATTATACTTGTCTAGAAGAGTGGAAATTATAATTTGAAAGTGAATCAAAGAAGCGATCCATAATAAGAGAAGTACAACTTACTGGTGACAGTAGCTTCATCTCCACCCGCTTTAACATCAGCTTGCCTTATTTCTTCCAACTGGCTATTTAGCTTCTCCATTTGCGAGAGGAGATGCTTGCGTTTGGTTTCACCATCCTTTCCAAGTCCGCTCGATTTGGCTTCCATCGCAGAGAGTTTCTTTTGACCTGTTGAGAGCTCCTGAGTGAGATGCTTTTCGCGCATTTCTAACTGGCGGAGTTCGGTTTCCACTGCAACGCGTTTGCCCTCAGCAATACGGGCCTGTTCAGCTAGACCTCCGCCCTGTTTGGAAGAGTTTCCACCAGCGAGACCAGACTTGGTCGCCTGGAATTTCATTATAAAACAGCCACAGTCAGTTCGTTTATTACTAGGCAAAGTAGCTAAGTTTCTAAGCTATGCAAACATAATCTGGCAACCTACTTGACTTAAAGCAATCAAAACTTCTATGTAGTAAAGCAAATGATATGACACGTCAAAGGGTTACCTTAAAGATTAAAAAGAGGTAACCGAGGGTTGAGAAAAGGACTTTGAAAAGCATAACGGGAAATATGAGTAGAAACAGTTCCGCATTAACTAAAGTCGGCGAATACACCACCCTTAGGCCATGATGATAATCCAATCACTGCTGTTCATTTGGCTTCCGATTTAGGTCAAGAGATCTTAGAGTCATCTTTTCAGACCCCTCCCCCCGGAATTGAGAAATCATTTAGAGACTAGATTAGTTCCAATAGATGCTTGAACGTGGCAGGAAAGATCTATCTTAAGAACGGCTTCGTAGGCATACTCATGTTTGGCTACATTTGCCACAACAATCTTTGTCAATTTAATGCCTCATTTAACTCATTTTAGCGGTTTAAGAAGTTGAGAAATCTATTCCATACGTGCATCAAACCACAACCATTTTAGAAACTATTCGTTAGGTAATTCTAACTTAAGATATAAACTTTATCTTAGTAGACTATTCATAAATGCTCCCCATCTTTCTGGGGGAGCTATATGCAGAGCACTAGGGGCTATTCAATGAAGACATTGAATGACACTTCTACTGTAATTCTACAAAAAGGGTGATTTATCAAGTTGCACTCTACTTGAACACGGATGAAAGGGTACAGTTGTTGGTATAGAGAGCAACATTCAAGATGAAACAATTTATTTGTGAGATACATCGATCAGGCTAGAGGAGAATTGGCAAAGAAGAGATAATCAGTGAAGTTATTAACAATGGTTTAGCCTATTGTAATACGCGTGAATGAAGCTAAGTTTACTAAGGTGGTATTATATAGGCAAATCAAGGCAGAATGAGACAAGGGAAATAGAGTAAGAGGAATAGAAAGGTGCCCCAATGAGAACAAGAGCGAGTGGAAGAAGCTACCTTTCAACAATGGCTACTTCCATCTAGCACATTGTGGTTGAAAACATCGCAAATTCTAATCTCCCATTACCATACTTGGCGTCCAAGTTATTCTGCGTGACTACAAGTGCAGGCAAATTTGTAATCTTAGCCTCATTTTAAAAGCTTAATGGACAACAGCACAAGCAAAGCAAATAGTACTTAAATTTCAGAAAGAAAACTTATGAATGCTCTGATATTTCCGAGGTCTCTAGTCAGAGGATGCATTCAATAGGCAGCGATAAAATTGACTGGTTTAAAGATAAATGGGAGAAAGGCGACTTCAAAAGAAAACAGACTCAAAAATGAGCATACAAACATCACGAGCAAACACCCATTAAAGAAATTGAGCGTTTGGAAAGGGAAAATGAGACTTACAGCCAAATTCGCCTGGGCTTCAGTAAGAGCCTCCTGAGCCTGTTTTGTAGCCTCCTCCAAAGCCTTGAATTCTGTTCCAGCTGCGTCGGCAGCCGCATACCGTTTGTCCTCTAACTGTTTGGATATTTCTTTCGACTGAGTCTCCAGATTGTGAATCTGTTTGCGAGTGACACGAAGATGTTCGGCTGCGCGAGTCGATACACCACTTGCCACAGCCTCTTCCTTTCGACGTTCCACGAGAACGCGTTCGGCTTCTTCGAGAGAGGTGCCTAGCAACTGCAAAACGGAGAAATTAGAGCCTTTTAATAATAATACAGGGGAGTAATGTAAACCCATTTCGTGAAGGATTGGTTTGCATCCTCAATGACTAGTTGGGTAGAGTTATGAAGCCCCTCTGGCTAGAAATTAATAGTCTACATTATCTTTATTCGCAAGACTTAACAAGTGTGTCGACTTTTTTGGGTAATGGGGCAATACAATTTGGCATCAAGCCCATGACTGTTTCTACATAGACGAGCTACGTACACGCAGGCATAATTATACAAACTTCATGAAAGTGAGGCAAAATTTCCATTGGGAAAAACCTAGAGACAGTTAATTGCGTTTAAAAAGCACCAAATTTAGACGACCCAAGACTTAGATGTGGATGAAAGACATAAAGACAATGGCCACTCTAGTTAAAATTTGCATAGCGCAATGAAACAGAGAGAAGACTTACTGTTTGACGTTCTTCAGTAAGGCGAACGATCTTCTGATCGACATCAGTCTTTTCACTCTTCAACTAAAAAAATAAATCCAATTAATAAGCACCAAAATCGAAATAGCAAAGCTTACAGTCTCAAGCTCATTTTTACTATAGGCGAGCTTATTTTCAAGTTTAACCAAATCGTCTTTACTACGTTGCTTAGCCTCTTCAAGCCTTGTGAAATCATAAGCAATGATGAGGCGAGAAAGATGTTCGATTTCACGAACAATTTTCTGATATTCCAAATAACTACTTCGCTCTTCACGTAGTTTCCGAATAGTTGGTGTGATATCCTCATAGAGAACTCTGTCGATCTCACGAAGTTTTGAATCTTTCTTTTCAATAGTTTTTAAAGCGGCTTCCTTCTTGTTTTCATAGAGCTTTGTGCTTGCTGCCTCTTCCAAAAGTGATAAAATCTTATATTAATGTAAAAACAATAGGCATCAGCTTACTTCAGGAGGTTTCATATTCACAACTTTTGTAATACTTCCTTGCATAATAAGAAAGTGAGGATTATTTACATTTAATTGAACGGAATGGAAAAGGTCTTGAACACGGGTATTAGTAGCATTAGTACCATTAATAAGGTACTTATTCTTGCCACCAACAACAATCTGACGAGTTATAGTCAATTCATCAAATTGTTCATATCCGTAAGGTGAGACAGACTTATCAGTATTATCAAAAACAATACTGACTGTAGCCTTGGTAATGCCCGACTGACCACTTTTATATACGAGTTCTTGCAAATTAGCAGCTCTAACCTATATAGCAATCATAAATAAAATACTTAAAGGGATACGTGTGACAAATTTGTAATTCCCAAGAGAAAGCAAATTGCATCCAGGATGTTCGATTTTCCAGAGCCATTAAGACCAGTAATTGCATTAAATTGAAGATCAAAATCGCGAATTTCTGTGCGTTGACAATAGGACTTAAATCCATCGATTACCATGGACTTAATATACATCCTGTTGCAAAATAGACCGCAGTTAAATTTTTACAGAGTGCGCCACTTACTCTGATCACCTTTAATATATCAATGCACAAAATAAACAAATAAATGGAATTACATTGGATTTTTAAGTAATTATTGGTTTACCATTTGATTATGCATATGCGATTATTACCTAACACATTTTATGCCATTTTTAGGCGTTTACTCTGTTTCTTTAAAGCAAATAAATATTTGGTTTTAAACAGGCCGAAAAAAGTGTGCGTTAATACCCTAATACTTTTTTAGACATGTATAAACTTTGATCAAGTTGGTTTTTTTGAAAGTAAAAAAATTTTCAGGTGTGTATAGCACAGCGTTACCAAGAAATTAGAATAGTCTAAAAGCCCCATTTTGTTATTGGTCACTTTGTGGTCAAGTTCGCTTATGCGTGTTGGGACCTCAAAACTAACCTGAACGTAAGTCTATCGCACACCCCTTGAAGCAACTTTATTTTCGGGGATTATGTGGTGTTCTTTACAATGGGAATGTTTATATTATTGTAGTTTGCTAATTTTAACTAAATAGTTTCTTATAATATGTAGGGTTATTTGAATGCATTCGTAACACGTGCTAGAAACTTTCGGGGACTTTGAATTCTCTTCCTACAAATGAACAAGTTATTTTGAGGAGATTACAGTAATTTCTAGGCGCTGTAAGCGGAAGTGATGAAGAATTAATCGTATAACTGTAAATATAAATATGGATTTGGCAGCTCGCGGAATTCTGTCTAATTAATTTTGAAGTGATCCTCTACAATCGCCTCTAGTAAACATTTTGTACGAATTTTGTATGGGTAAAATCACCAATTTCGTCGACTAGGCACACGAAAACTCCTGCATTTTTTATCTCTTCAGAATTTCTACTGAGTTGTGATTTTTTAAAACTTTCGAACTTCTATTTTCGCCAACTTACATTTCTGGCATTGTTTACTTTTCAGGCCATAGTTACTTATTTTTAGAATTTCGCTAAAATGCCCTGCTTTTGTCCTCACACAATGATTGCCATCTGCGAGGTCATGTAGTTCCCTGACCACTGAAACTTTAACATTCCACCCAACAACTGGTGAGAATCTTATACGTCACATTTGCCTATATCTTGACTAATACCACACGGAATACTTTGGTAAGTAATTAGTTTATATGACTCTACAACAAATCTTTTACGAGTTATCAAATGGTTTGATGTATCAACAGGGTCATTTGACTTCTCCTCGAGCTGTAAAATTCGTTATGTGTCTGCAGCATAACTATAAGCCACCATTTTCTACTTGGGGACGGCGATTTTAGGCTATTTATCCCTTTCCTTGTTTCTGACTAAACTATTTTATACCATACATGCCTTCCATTGCCACAACTTTTATAATTATCACTCTATCATCACATTTTCTCTCTTTTAAATAAGTTTGAAGCTCATAAATCCGTAATTTCTCTGCTGTCTTCGTAGTGAGATTAGTCAAATTGATAAGTGACTGGAGTCAAGATCATATAACGAGATACTAATCAGTCTCTCGTTTACAACTTTCATTGATAAGAAGCATTTAAACTCTTTTTACTATCAATTTTCATATGCTTTTTTAACACGTATATAGCATATATACCAGTAATGATCCCGATCAGAAGACATTTAATCTTGCTACAGGTAGTTTAAACTGAGCACAAATATTGTACTTTTATGCACTTGCCCAAGGGCTGTGCAATAGATTTACCTCCACGTTTTGGACCCTGGGCATGCGACAACGAATTCTATAAACTTGCAGATGACTTCTGACTTCAAACTAACATGTCCCGACTATATGTCATATTCAATCGCTTCCTCAGTACTCACCTCACCTTACCCTTTTCTCTACTTTAGTATCTGTCTGTCTGCCTCTTTTACATCTGTGAATTGCTTTCCTTTTAGTTCTCTTGACTTTTTTCTCACATTGATGTTCTTTCCCTCTGTGATGTCCGTGGTCAGCTAAAGGACTCTTGATAACTATCAGAATGTTGTCATAGGAAAAAAAATACACTTGTCCATTTTCGGAACCCGGGTTTCAATTTTGAATCATACTTATACGCAGTGCATTTTGCTACATCTTCTTAACGAAATTCTTCCTAATTTGCCAAATTTTAGGGTTTATGCTTCAGGTACAATGATGAAATCGGGTTTGAGTGATTTTGATCTGCTGTCTCATTGGAATTGTTTGTCATAGCATTTAGACACCGTTTATCCTCTAGATTCTAACGCAGTTGTTGATCAGAACTCCTTAAATCGTGTTCACAAGTGGACGTGTGTATCCATTGGAAAGTGGATAACGCTATCATGGCTGATCAAAAGAACCGCGCGAGCACTCAGACAGACTCAAAAGTGCTACTTGTCGCGTGGGCAGCAAGTGCGGTCGTAGATGCTAAGACCTCTCACAGAAACCACCATTAAATAGTAGTTGCATTTTAAAAAAAAGATCTTAATTGTAATTTTTGTGTCAGTGACATTCATAATGACGATAAACTCTTTCCGCACCATATGCTTTGATTCTTTGTTGTTGTTCAGATAACTAAGCAAATTTCGGGGCCATTCCGTATTAGGGGTTTTGTTATAGAGATTGCTAAGGTTTAATTAAGTTTTTTTTGTGTTGCAATCAAAACATGCCATCTTAATCCCCTTGTAATGTTTAGAGGTCAATACACAGAAGAAAATATAGTAAGCTATGACCCACTAACTGTTACGATGTCAGCAACGAATATCTATGCGGTTGATAGCTAACTCACAGACTTCTGTGGGAATCTCCAGTTCCAGACGAAACATTTATTTATTTATATCAAATGGCAGGCGTCTTGATGGTTATCATTAGCCCTTTAGTTGACTTCAGACTTCACAGAGAGGAAGGAACATCAAATAGAACAGAAGAGTGTTTCGAAGATGTAAGAGACAAACACAAAGGTAGAACAAAGGTGAGGTGGGTACTGTGAAAATATTAGAATATGGCATAGAGTGAGGTGATGGTAATTTGAAGTGAGAAGTCAACTGCCAGTCAATAGACTTTTTTGCCGTATGAGCATACGTTGCCCAGGGTGCACCACGTGGAGGTAAATCTATCGTGCACCCCTCCAGACGAAACATGAATTTTGTAGCTTTGAGTATATTTCCTGGCATCTTTTTAGGTCTTGTTAAAAGCAAGATTGATAAACCTTACTTCAAAAGCAAACTCCTCATCAATTTGGTCATAAGAAGCAATCCAGATGAAGTAAGTTTCCTATGATCCAATTAAGTAAATTTCTTTGAAACTTGTTATTTTCACTTCGATCTTGCCAATCCCATTAAGTGGTTGCTTAAGTGGCTCCAAAATTAGAAATAAATATTTGGAAGTTTAATGAACCAGGATTTGGAAAAATGGGAGGCTTAGAAAATACACTATAAACAGCCCGTTTTGGCAAGTTAATTATGGGTGAATGCCAAGTTTATTCACATATTCTCAACATTTTTAGAGCTTAGAAAGACTTTGGAGTCTAATGCATCAAAGTGTTGCGAAATGCTTCAATTTTCAACCCCTTCCACCTAAGTTCGAAAAGTCACACAGAAACAGTTAGACGTAGTTGAAATACTAACTAATACAAACAGGATAAAATATCTTCACACTCGAACGCTTAAGGTGAAAATGAGTTTTAAATGTTAAGCTAAAGAAAACAACAAAAAACCAACATTTTAAAGTTTATTTTTAGTATAATTGAATGGAATTTAAAGAGCAAACGCAAAATTTTTATTACATTGTTAAAAATTTCAGGCAATCAAAGCTAAATTCAATGACAAACTGGGGAAAAGCTACAGCTAGTTCAGATGACTACAACGTTCAATACGAAGCACGAGAATAGTTGTAGTTGGGTTTTAACGGGGAGCCCTATGTTTTAACTGAAAATAAATTATACAAAGAACAATAAATGTTACGGCCCCAAAGGACTGGTTATATTAATAGGTCGAACACATATTGCACTAATTTTGTTTCGTTAATGGATAGATTTAAGCTTATTAATTACTGTGGATTCTCCTTGTATCTGCACATGAAATAGATTTCGGTGTCAAATTTTTTGCAAGGCGCAAAACTTATGATATAAACTATGTTTTCTATATTTTAAAAGTAAGATATTTTAATAAATATTATTATTTTGAAATATGTAAGTTAATTTACTTTTGTTTGCCCAATAGCTATTTGTTTTCATGCAGAGCCGTCGGTGCGCTTTTTCCAATAGTGTTTGGCGTTTCCACTGAAGGTTCTACAGATGGGAAATTGTTGCTTTTATATTCCATATAGACCAAAATTTCTACACTATTTTTCCCGCCGGACAGGTTCAAATTTTATGGGTGGAGATGTAGATACTCTTATGGATCTCGATTATCTTGAAGAGCCCCAACTTACTTTTAGATTAAATAATAATCTTTTTACCGTTCCATCATATCTTAATTGGGTATGTTTTCCTATTTATACGTTTTATGTTTTTAATGGTCTCAATATTTTATCGATTGATCTTGAAGGTGTCAAATAAACCCCGACCTCCTGAAATGGAACCTATCACATCAGGCGAGAGTTCTATAAGTTCTCGACGTGGGACAGGAAGACGCTCATCTCTTAATCGCCTGACTGGAGATGGAAATATGGATTTAGCATCCCAGCGTCTCCTGTTTAATGAAGTTGATCCTAAAGGTCAACCGGCACCTTCTTTCTCTGATATGAATTCTCCCACCGAAGGTGGCTGGGCTGCAATTACCAGTGTAGCTAGTCAGGGACATAAGACTTCCGTAAGTAATCGTTTTAAAATCACTATGTAAAAATAATTTTATATTTAAAATTTATATTTTATTTAGTTCTTGCTATGAATAGCTTGAAATTTAGATTTTATAAACGGTGAGTTGTTGAGTAAGTTGTCTTGGTTTGATTTCGGTGTGGTTTCAGTTAACAGCTTTGGTTTTAAATTAACATTTTTTAAACCAAATTTTTGAGACATGTTTGATTTTGCTTTTAACATTATAAGCACATACATAAATATAAAAATAATTTCAGTTTTTTGTACACTTATTTTGTTTCAATATATATTCAAATAAATTACTGAAATACAATTTATGTTTTCCTACTCCGTCAATGTTACGTGAATTTCCTTTCGTTACTAATGTTTTGAATACATAAAAAAATATAATAAACTAATTCACCATTATTGTACTTTTTTTCTAAGAGCTCTATAAATGCGCTTCTAACCAATTTTATAAATGTGTGCTAAATTTGTACAGTTTTTATTCAATGATCGAAATAAAGTACTTTAATGACTAGTCATTGCTTTGTAAATTTCTTTTTTTCATGCAATTATTATGTCATAATTATATTTTCAAAAGCATAATTTTAAAAAAGTTTATATATTCGACGTCATATTTGAAAAAAACATCATTTAGTAATCACTATCACCATTTCTAGTTACCTTCCTCCCGACAAAAACTTCTTTTTACATCGAACTAACTTTTATAGGAATTTTTTTCCAAACTCTTTAAACACACTGTCCTATTTAAAACAAAAGTATTCTCCTTTGATGTCCATTAGTATTTGGATTACAATGGTGCCTGAAAGTATGGAATATTTATGGTGCATATGATTAATGTACAAATTCATCTTTTCTCTAACTGTACAGGGAGTATTTTCCGGATCAGGACTTATCTTATCAGTGAGACTTATCTTAAATAAGCTTTATTGACTACTCTAGATGGTAACGCAGGTTATGAAGAAGATTTGATATATAGTTCTAGTGTGATAGAACTTTCGATTAGATTCGAATGCTATTAAGCATTATTTGGTCACTTTTAATGGTCGCTTTGAAATTGCATTTATTAGGTCATAAACACAGGTGTCCAAAAATCGTAAGACTCATTTGAGATTATTTACATGGACGCGAGTTGATGATGTGCCGTATGACGTCTCGCAACTAATGGACTAAGTGAAGAAAACAGTATCTGCAGTGACAAATATCATCTGCAATATGGCAAAAGTGTACGAAATCAAGCAATTTAGCATGGATAATACTGTGGGGAATGAGAGGTGCTTTTGACAGCAAGCACATAATTAAGTGGCTATTAATGTATGTGCACTTTTAGCGCAATAAAACACTTGAAGCAGAAAATGTGCCAAGTAGGAAGTAAAGAAGAATGAAAGGTGAGAATTCAGCACTGGAGATTTGTTCCATAGTCCACTCGTTCCGTCATTTTTCCTGAGTGGATCGAAGATCAGAGGTTATTGTTTACTGGAATAATTTGAAAAAAGTTTAGTACAATTTGCTTTGCAGATAGATGGCGTGGTTTTGATATAGATTTCACCTTGAGTGAATCCTCATGTGACTTGTACTAATACCGCTATGGATATTATCAAGACGATTTTCGAATTCAAAAGTTAGAAAATATCATTTCCAATCCGAAGTGGGTTATGTATTTTACTAAACCATGGCTGGTGCGCAATAACGAAAAAGGAAAAATAAATGAATGCATATCTGCCAAAGTACGGCCTTTTGAAGGGGAGAGGATAAAGGCAACTGGAGGTCTTATTTTTCAATGAATATTGGAATTTGTATTTTGGGTTTCTACATTTTTGCATATGCCATTGGCTCGAGTTTAGCAGAGTGTGAATGTGTGATAGTTATTATGTATATTTTAAGTTAAACTTATTTATTAATATCAAATAGCAGGCTTTTCGATAGTTATAATTAGCCCCTTAGCTGACTTTGAGCTTCACAGAGAGGAGGAGGAACATCAAAGTCACAAAAAGTGGAGATTGGAACAGAATAATGATTCACAGATGTGAAAGAGACGGATGGGCACAAAGGCAGAGAAAAGGTAAGATGAGTACTGTGAAGTAGTCGAATAGAACCTACGGTGGGGTGATGGTAGTTCGAAGTGAGAAGTCAACTGCCAGTTAATAGACTTTTTCGCCGTATGAGTATACGTTGCCCAGGTTGCACCACGTGGAGGTAAGTCTATCGCACGCCCCACATTCTGAGTTGTAAGGTTTGCACTATGATTTTCGACGAGATAAAAGTTTTTGCTAACATGCACGCAAAATAGGGTGGTAAGAAGAATGTGACAGAAA